GTCTGAACTTCTGCAATTCTCTCCCCACTGTTCTCTGATCAGGTTTAACTCACCCCCATTTCTGTACCTGATTAAGTCTCCTTAAATATTTGCTTAAAATCTCCATGATGTACAGAACACAGGTGGAAGTCCCTAGCAGGGACGAGATGGCAAATGAGGACACCCTGATGGTCCTGCCTCACCCTCTCTCATTTCTCTCCTGTAAGGCAGTCCCGCTCCAAAACACACTGTCTTCTCCAAAGACGTCAGTGCCTCCCCGCTCTCCCTCCCTCCACCAGCCCTGCTCATGCAGCTTAGGGGGCCTGGGAGGACCCTAGGTCTGCCCCTCCATCTTGTCCTCCAACTCAAAGGTGAGTCCCCTGGGAAGGCTCTGCTGTCAGCCCCCATCCTGCTGCTGCCTGAAGGGGAGAGGATTCTCTCTGACTCCCCCTGCCCCCAGCCACTCCAGCTTAGCTCCCCCCAGCTCTGGGTCCCCACGTGCAGTAATGGCTTGGCTGGTCTGCTTCTCCCTCCAGCATGCAAAAATTTTGAGAAAGAAAAGCATTGTTTCCTAAATCTATATTTTAAGAGCTCATTTCCTGGGTTAATCAGGATTCAAGATACAAATATCCCTTTTATACAGAACAGAACAGGAATGTTTAATTTAGCAAATGAAATCAATCTCTATTTGTTCTCTTCCTTATATGTTGTCTTAAGAAAAAGCTCTAAAATTTTAAGTTCTTGCCCAAGAAATCCTCTGCAGGAGGTTGATGTCATGTCCCTTAGTTAAAAAAGAAAAAAAATTCTATTATTTATTATTTTATTTTATATTCAAAGAAGACAATGTCTTGCTCTGGGTTAGTAGACAAATTAGCAGCAGGTCAAGGCTGGGATAAAAATAAATCACTTGTTTGTTAATGTGTTTATTTGTTTTGTTTAAAAATAGCCATTGGATGTGTTCTGTGATCCAAGAACTCCATTTGTCACTTGTCAAAAATATTTCTGAGCTGGGGGTGTGGCCTAGTGATAGACTGTTTGCCTAGAATGCTCGAGGCCCTGGGTTCCAATGTCTAGAGATACACACACCCACCTACCCCCCCGGCCCCCTGCCCCCCACACACTACAACTCTTGCCTCCCTGTTTTATATTTGTACCTAAATTTTTTCAGGCTAGGCATACCTCAGAGTTTGGCTACAGTGGTGTGAAAGCAGCAAAATAGAAGTTGTATTATATTTGAAATCATATATTAGAGGTAATGATAGAGTGGCACTGTACCTGGTAATTAGTTTACAATGTGCTCCCACAGATGCACTCAGACACCGTGATTAATGCTCCCTGGAGCTTGCGGTCCCTGTAACTAACTATCACTGTGCTTACCAGGGCTCTGCTCTCCAAGCAGATTATGATAAATACCATGTTGGTTGTACTATTGCTTTAAGTGATTAGGTCTGGGTGTGAGAGGGGTGGTAAGATGAAACGGAGATAAAATGCAAAGTTTGGGCTCTGGTTGCTTCACCAGGACTCAGTAAAGAACAAGCCAGGCAACTTCGCATGAGGTTGCAAGGGTGAGGTAGGGGCAGGACCCCCAGTCCCTCCCACACGTACACAGGCCATGCCCAGTCTGTGGGGTTATAATGGATTCTAAAGTGCGGATTTGAAGTGGATTTCTGTTGGGTGTGTCTGGAAGCTAGACATGAGAGACAGAGAGAGAAACAGAGAGGGAGGAAACTTGTCTCTGCTTCAGAGGAGCTGAGAAGCATCTTAAACCCTACTCCTAGTCTCTTGGGTCAGTCCTCCAACAGGACACTGGCCCTGGAGGAGGGGGTCTAGGGATGACATCATCCACAGGCAGTTCCACTGGCCGACCCATCAGACAGTGCCATTGGCTGCATCCCAGAGGAAGTCCTCAGCCAGACAGGCGATGTGTTAGTACAGCTGCTTGTGTGCAGCCCCCAGCCCTCATGCATTGAGGCCCTCACCCCATGTTTCCAGCCATCTGCAAACCAGGAGAGAAGTCTCACCAGAGAAAGAATTGGTGGCCACCTTGACCTTGGGCTTCTACCTCCAGAGCTATAAGCAGGTACATTTCTGTTGGTTAAGCCACTCCATCAGAGTGGACTAAGACACCCACCAAACTGGTCTCCTCAAGGAGTGTGCATATGTTTAGCCTCTGAATCTTTAGTCTGTGGCAAAGGACATGCACACGAGCATACACACACACACTCTCACACACACACACACACACACTCACACACACACACTTTTCAGCCCAGAACAGGGTCCTCATGACTTCCTGGGACCATAGTCTCCCTAGAACTTATCAAATTGGAGTGTTCTCCCGTCACTATCATGGAGAAATATTATCTTAGGAAATCCTCCCACCAACCAGGGATGTGGGTACTCTTTTTTATTTTACCAGTTTTATGGACTAGTCTAAGCTTTTGATTTTTCATTTTTTAAAAAAATATCAAATTAATTACTAGGTAGGGTGGGGAACAAAGTTGGTGGTTCCTGTCCTCCCAGCTAATAGACAAACAACCTTATACTTGGGCTATAATATGTGCAACAAAGAAAGGAACAGGGTTGGAGGGGACACCATTAATGCTTAGGAGCTTAGGAGAGGAGCGTCAGAGAAGGTGAGATTTAAACTGACCGTGGTTTTTCAGGCAGCAGAAACAGTGTGTGCAAAGGCCCTGAGACAGGAAGGAGCTGATGGATCTGAAGAGCTGAACAAAGCCAGAGTGGCTGCAAGCCAGGGAGAGACTGGGCAGGGAGGCCTCTCCGGGACTTTAAGGGCAAAGAGAGAGAGAAAAGAAGCCTCAAGGCCCACAGAGCATGGGGAGGAGATGAGAAGGGGAGTTCCATGTGTCGGGTGCTTGCTGTCGGATGCTGTGTTAGGGGCTTGATCTACACCACGTGGTTCACCGTCACCACTGTGCAGGGAAGCAGGTCTTATTACTTGTGGTTTGCAGATGAGACGTCTGAGTCGAAGATGAAGATGTGACATGTCCAGGTCCCCGAAGATGAGTAAAGGGGGTGAGATGTGAGCCATATTTCTCGGGCTCCAGAGTCGCCACCACCTCATCCTGCCTTCCCCGGGGGCGGGGGCTGCACCAGAGGCGCTCAGCTATCCCTGCTGCGGGGCGGGGCGCTGACCCCCTGCCTGGAGGTGGGCGGGGCGGTTGGCCAGGGGCAGCAGGGCTGAGCTCCATCCCCACCAGTTCTCCCAGAGATGATTTCTTTCTGTTCATACTTAAATGGCCTTTCCTGTGACAGCACATTGTGTCATGTGAGGTAGCTGCAAGTCAGTTTAGGTAAATGGCGACCAACCCCCACAACTCATCAACCTGCCACCCTGCAGGCCGGGAACCTGGGCCCCATTGGTGCAGAGAGCACTGCAGCGCCCCCTACAGCCCTTGTTGTGGAGTGCAGGTACAAAGCAGTCAGGGCCTCTGATGGGCTGGGAGGACAGGCCCTAGGGGCAGGAGTTGGGAAGGCAAGAGCAGGCTCCCTCTGCCTTGCAAGAGAAGTGCAGGGGCTGGCAGGGTGTCGCAGGGCAGGGGGGTCCAGGTGATCTTGCCCATGCTTTTTGTTCTATAAGAACCTGACAGTTTTGTTTTTCAATCACTTTCTTCTAAATCTATTAACTTTTCTCTGTATTTCTCAATATACAAAATGATGAGTAGAAGAGCGATGAATGAGAGATCTATTTTACTGAAATAGTTGGGTAGCTCAAGAGGCTGTATTTTATAATGAGGAGACGAAAAAGGAAGACAGGGGAAGGAATAGGCAAAAAGAAAATGGACTCTCCCTTCCCCTCTTCAAGACGAGATTTCTAACTTGGTCATTCCACAAATGTTTCTTGAGCACCTATTATGTGTCTGTCAGGGTGTAGGTGCCAGAGAGTAGTCAGCAAGCCTAAGCTGTAGGACCTGCACACCAGTGGCCAGGTGTGGGACAGCTGAAGGCTGGGGAACCTCCTGGGGTGGGGGGTTGCTTCTGGGCATGAAGGAGATTCAGGAGAATCTTTAGAGAAAGGACACTTACACTCTAAAAAATGGTGGGATTTCAGCAGGAGCTACCTGCATCCTTCATATCCAGCATGTGGTTCCATAGAGTGGACTCCACAAACATCGGAAAGAAGGCTGGAAGAAGGGACAGCATCAGGAACAGTGTGGAGGTGACAGTGCCTGAAGTGTGGCAGACACTCTGTTCAAGTAGGTAGGTGTTTCTGTGGCTCGAGGGTGCAGGAGGCTGGGACAAAAGAGGGGACTCAGATGTCATCTGCTACGGTTCAAATATGGTTTGTCCCCACCAAAACTCTCGTCAAGTCTTCTTTCATGTGGCAGTATCGGGAGGTATTGGGAGTATTGGCCTAGCGGGAGGTGCTTAGGTCTTGGGGGAGGAGCCCTTGAGAAAAGATTAAAGCCTTTCTCCCAGGAGACTGGTTTATTTCCCCGGAAAGCCAGTTGTTATAAACCAGTTTGCTTCTAATTTCATCTCTTCTGAATGTCAGTGCTTCTCTTCTGCTTTCTGCCATAACTTGAAGCAGCACGAGGCCCTTACCAGAAGCTGAGCAGATGCTAGTTGCTAGGATCTTGGACTCTCCAGTCCCACGAATTTTAAGCTCAAATACATTTCTTTTGTTTATAAATTACCCCCTCTTGGGCATTCTGTTACAGCAACAGAAAATAGACTCATTCAAAGGCTGTGGATATTATTGAACAGGAAGTTGATAAATAATAAGTAATATGATCAGAGTTGAGTTTCAGGAACATTAATCTGGCCACAATTAAAACACACAGAGTAATAAATAATTTGCATGACTCTAAAAGTAATTTCACCTCCTGACTTCCCTCGCCTTGCTAGATGCAAGAAGGTCCCTCTGTGGGTGCGCCATGGTCATGTGTGTGTTGATGAAACCCTAGCTTGTAAAGATTTAGGCATGTGTGCCTCAGGAGACAGGAGGGCGGGTTCCACTGACTGGGTGCGAGCCAGCCTCCCTGGGTGCCCCTTCTTACCTGTAGTCCAGTTTCAGAGGTGTGGCTTCCAGGCTGCTGATCTGACAGTAAGGCTCCAGGTTAGAGAGTTCGTATAGCTGCAGTTCACAGCGTCTGTTTAAAAATCAAGCACAGTCGGAGCAAGCTTTCAGCTTTTGCTTTACCTCTGTAGGAATAGTTTAGGTTCCTCAGAGCTCACAAAGCGGTGGCACCTACCTGACCAGGAAGAAGCCACCCAGTGGGGCCACCCTCTAGCTGAGCTTGGGCCTCCCTCTCAGCTCCTGACATGGGGGACATCTCTTCAGCTTGGCTCTAAATCTGGCCACAGAGCCAGTCCTTCCCCTTCTGGGGCTGGCTTGCCAACAACCTGGGCTCTGGATGCCAGCAGTGGGGGATTCCGACCCCAGCCCACGGCTTAGTTCCCTCATCTGTAAAATGGGACCATCGCAGTTCCTGTCTTAGAGGTTCAATGAGAAGACGGGTGAAAAAATAATAGGTCCAACCCTGGGACCTGCCAAGTCATAAAATGTGAGCGAATATTGGATGTGGACAATGTAAATGTCATCTGACTCGCAAAGCAGAGGGTCGGAGGCTTCTTTCTCTGCACGAAAGGGTGAATTTGGTGCTTCCCTCCTTTTCCCTCTTTGAAACTCGCACCCTTGACCCCCTCTCTCCTATGGTAGGTGGTCTACCTTGGAGCTGATGGAGACAGGAACAATTTTGTGGTGTGTGAAAAGCAACTTCCTGCTCTGATTTGTTCCCGTAGGACACCCAGGGGTCACTTTCAATCCCACGCCTTTTGCTTTTGCCTCCTTGATGTAAAACGTCTTTTTTCCCATTTCCTTTCCACCTGTGCTGCAGTTCAAAAGTGGTTCCCTGATCTGGGAGGGTGAGCTTTGCCTCGTCTTCCTGTCGGTTCAGAGCCTCATATAAGCTACTGTGGCATCTCTGAACCCCAGTGTGTAGCACACAGGAAAAGGTGGCTGAGCACACTTTAAACACTCAACCCGGGGAGGCCATTATGTTAAGTGAAATAAGCCAAACAGAAAGATAGACCCACGTGTTCTCACTCACTTGTGGAGACTACAGAATCCATCTCATAGCATACAGCGGGAAGAATGGTCACGAGAGACTAGGAAGGGCACCAAAGCTCAGGAGGAATTAGTTCTGCTTTTCTGTAAGGTAGTAGAGTAACTACCAGTTCAGACAATGTAATTATGGATTTCAAAATGACTGGAAAAGAGAAGTACAAAATTCCCAGCACATAAAAATGATGAACACTTTATTAGTCGTGGTAAATGATTACCCTAATGTGATCATTGCATATTACATGCATGTATCAAATTATGATAAGGTACTCCATAAAGACATCCAAATGTTGTTTTAATAAGAAGTAAAAATAATTTAAAAATTTAAAAAATCAAACTGAGATGAGCCAAATTTGCTGCTTTTAAACAGTTAATTATATTAATTATATTGATGTTAATGAACATATCTTAATTATCAAAATAATATATTAATGTGTCATTGAACTTAACAAGAAATAAATAATATTTAATAAAAATATATTAATCAATGATATTAAACTTAACAAGAAATAAATAATATTTAATAAAAATATATGGATGGTCTGAGGTCGGAATAGCAGCTGGTTCATTGAAGTGGTTAATACGTAGAGAACCACTGATTTCTGGGAGCGACCAGGTGGAGAGGAGAAAACACTCTTAGGGCTTCCAGGAGTGGGGGGGGGGGTCCAGGGACTGGGAGAACTCCTTTAAGCTCCGCCCTCTCCCATAGCCACGCCCCCAAGAGCCCAGAGTTTAAACTGCCTCATTTTCTCAGCCTCTTCCTCTCCACCCCATCACAGCTCATGCTCCCACGGTGTCAAAATCGCCTTTGCTTCAAACTTGATTCAAATCTTTCAAATTTCCTTCTGTCAAGCTGCTCGCTTTTTGCCATGGCCCAACTTGAGGCACATGGAGAGGGGCTCAGACTCCGCCCTCATTTCCCTGATGGTGACATTGGGTCAAAACCAGAAGGCTCTCCCTTCCCAACGGACAACATCACTGCAGGAGGCCCCAGTGATAACTTTGTGTAGTTGGACTAATATGCGAGGTCTAGTATTTTTTTTTTCCCATGAGTTTCATGACTTGATTCTCATACCACAAACGTGTGTGTGTGCACTGAGGGGAAACAGATGCAAAACTGTGATCACCCTCTTCCGGCAGATTTCCCTCACTCACCCAGTCCCAACGATCAATTTGTTGAACTGTGGCATGCTGATGACGTCTGTCGCCCACCTGGGCTTCCCACTTCGGGACTTGCCCTAGAGGGTTGAAGGGTAGAAGTGAACAATTTCAGTTATTTCAAGCCATCGTTGTCCATAACAAGGATGCTTCATGTTGTAGAGTTTTATTTAAGTTGATTTTCTCCTTCAAGGTTAAAGAACTTGTTACATAGTCTTCATTCCCTCTCCAGGCACATGGCTTATTCTGTACCCTGAAAGATTTAGCTATAACTGCCAGTGCAGATTTTAAGTTAACTGAGGGCAGACACTGTATTCTGTGTCCCCAGCACCCAGCCCAGAGCCTGGGTCACAACAGAGGCTCAGCTATTTGTTGAATGAGATGATAAAAGAATGACTTCCAAGAGAAAAATATATCCTAAAGTGGGCCAGACATTGTTATTCCGAAATGTAGTTCCCGAATGATTTATGCCTTCTGAATTTCTCATTCTATAATACAATAGGTTCTCTGATGAGAAATCCTAGCACAACCACCTAAACTGATGGAACCACAAAGAAGGAAAATAAGGAAGATTCTGCTCCATTTGTCATTCATTAAGACATATGATAAATTGCACGATAGATCCACATGTAATTCATCACTCCATCTGATGTTAGAAGCAAAATGAAGCATTATCTTGTACTACATGCAGAGCTCATATTTTATTTGCATTCCATAGACCAGCAAAATCCAACATGAATATATTATATTCAAGGGCACAATTTATGTAATCATGCCACTTAAGGAGCAGTTTAAAATAGCAAATAAAATCAAACTGTAGCACTCAGCATCCTTATCAAATGAAAATCACATACAAAAATCTGCTTTTTTCTTTTCAACTTCAGCTGCGGAGACCAGAAATAAATAGCTCCATCTTCTCTGATCATGATTAAGGTGTCATCAGGCACAGAGAGAATGCGCAGCACGGGCCCCCCGTATGACAGCTTCTGCAGCACAGCAGGCAGCAGGAAGGAAACCTCTTTCTGTCGCGCCAAAGCCCTGGCTTGCTCCAAATATTCTAGCTGCAGATATGTGCAGAAGCCATCCTGGAGAATAAAGAGCAGTTCATTATAAACCCACCGCCTTTCTGGCTTTTAAAAATTCTCTTTGCCATTAGGGAATGGATAACTCATTTCTTGGACATGGCATAATAGTTACCACATGAACTTGGTTCTCAAAACCTGGTAGGAAAGAAGTGGTGTGCCCTTCAGTGGGGCCGGCCCCTCTGGGCTTCCTTCCTTTACTCACCATTTTTCTTTAAAGCTGAGAAGGAGGAGGAGGAGGAAGAGGAGGAGGAGGATTGTTGTTAGGAGTGTACCATGTTCTGTGCAACATGGTTCTTCATCTCAATTCTCACCAAAACTGTAGGAGGTAAGGTCTGCTGTTCACCCCATTTAAAAATTTTGAAAACTAAAATTTGGAGATTTTATTTATTTGTTTTCATGTGGTGCTGAGGATCGAACCTAGGGCCTTGCTAGGTGAGCACTCTAACGCCGAGCCACAATCCCAGCCCTCAAGTTTAGAGATTTTAAATGACTTTCCTAAGATCAAACAACTAGCAAGTGCTGGTCAGAGGCTTGAGTTCTCATTGATTTGACTCCAAAAGTCTCTTTACACCAGGACATGTGCCTCATTTAGAATCTCAGCAGTGTACGTATGGGAAAGAACCCTGTGCTCAAAGAGGGGAGAAGGTGGGTGGTCTTTGAACTTGGTAAATCATTTTCTGTCCCTGGAAGCTTCCCCTTTCTGTCCCAGAATCCTGAATGTTCCTTTTTAAATCAGGTGACAATAAGAACACTTGTATTTGATTTGGCTGAGGAACTGGCCAAAGGCCTGAGTAGAGGTGATTTACTGCTGAATTTGTCCTTTTTGAGCTTCATTTGTCCCAGAACAACGGAAGGACACTGACAGACACAACAGCCATGAATACTAACAGTAAATGTCTCAGCTCCTCACACTACCAAGTGGGTCAGAAAAATGATGATGGTGATATTTTGGGGGAATTTATTCTGTGACAGTCTCACTTCTAAATACTACATGTGTTCCCTGACTTGATTAGCAGCTGTAGCTACTCATAGGATTTCTTACTCACTGGTGTTTTTCCATTGGCTTTTGAGTAAAGTGGTAGACGTGTCCTTCCAACCTTGGTTTTGGGACACCCTTCATGGAACCTGCCTCAGCTACTGAAACTCCTAGCTAAACTACTGCAAGTGCAGCCGGACATCATTACAATTTGAAAATTAGGAGCAAGCATGTCTCCTGGGTTCAACTTCCAGCTAGCAAAGATATTGAGGGGCAAACAGCACCTCAAAAAGGACCAAACTCAGGACTAAATGTTAGGCCCCTTCTCTGCTAACTTTAAATCAGATCCACAAAACACAACCCGACTTACCCACTGAATCCTGCCTACTGCGTCATAGTCTATTTTCATGAAAAGTTGTTCTATTTGTTCAGTACTCTAAAGAGGAAAAAAAAATTAGTTTATAAACTTCACACGATTGTGGAGGAAAGGGGTGAAGAAGGAGGGGAGATCTTCGCTTTTTTCAATTTATGAATTTCATATTCAAAAAGTTGAATGCTCAAGGATCTCTGGAGCAATAATAGGACCATTCATCAGAACTCAGCTCGCTGACACCAAACTCTTGCCCAGAGGGAGACTTGGGCTCCTAAGACTTTTATTTTTGATACCGAGCCCTAAGCAGCTCAGGAGGAACTGAATGGCTTTCAGTGCCTGAACTTACAGGAAGTCCCACTCCGCCCCGTCCATGTCAGCCAATGGACTGTGCTTAGGGCCCACTTTGAGATAAATAGCAAAGTGAATCCAAAGGTCAAGTATGGTGAGGACACTCACTCGGATATAGCCCAAGACAAAAAGATGAGCAAATTCTGAGAAGTATTTCAATTAAAAGGATCATTCTCCATGGGAGAGAATAGATTTCTTCCATGTGGCTATAGCAGGCAAGCAATAGATGCCCCAAGTCATCCCTGCCTCCTGGTATTCATGGCTTAGCTCACTTCTCATCCGGAGTAACTTGCTTATAGCCAGTAGAACACCTTGGTGTCGAGGGGCTGTCACTTCTGCCTTGCTAGAAGACTCTCTCCCTTGCTGGCTGGATAAAGCCAGCTGCCAGACTCTTAGCTGCCATTTGGAGAGGCCCAGGTGGCGAGGAAATCAGGGCAGCCCCTGGCCAACAGCTATCAAAGAGCTGATCCCTGGGCTCCTGAGCCCAACAACCTGTGACAATCTTGGAAGCAGATCCTTCCCCAGTCAGCTTTTCAATGAGACCCACCAGCCTCATGAGATACTTCAAGGATCCAGGGAATGCTTGAATTCTTAACTTATAAAAACTGTGGAATAATAAAACATAGGTACTAAGTTTTTGACACTTTATTGTGGAGCCATGGACGCTTTATTGTGGATCCAGTGGCTCAAAAGTACATAAATTCAGCTAATGGGTAGAATGTCAATGACAACCCATTTTAGCTCATATGGAGAAGAAATAAACCTAGAGCTTTCCAATCTTGAAATGGGCTGCCTTACACGGTGCTGAGTTCTCCCTAGATGAAGGTAATATTCTGGCTCATGGCTTAACAGAGAAGACAATTTAAGAATTAGGATAGTTATATATTAAGAATACTTGCATGCATTAAATTATATGTTAAGGAACTAAGGTCCTTCCGAACCTCAGGGTTCTATAATTTTATGGTGTATCCACAAAGTAGCTTTAACAGAGATAGATCATATGTCTGTGCTGGGGAGTGTCTTATAAGGGGTGGGAGCATCTGCCTTTGAGCAGAAATAACAGTGAAATGGAGAAATGAGGAGGCCTGGTCTCCAAGACATGAGGCATTACTCCTTAGAGAGCCAACACCAGCACCAGGGACGGGGCCATGAACAAAAATACTCCGGATGTGGGACCAAGCTCAGCATCAGTTTCCTCTAAGTCAGTTTGCAATGGAGACATCACACTCCCAGGTTGACATGCCAGGCTTCTGACAGTGCTGTGAACACAATATTTAACATACATATATATGTGTATGTGTATATATATATATATTTGGGGGTGGTAACAGGGATTGAACTCAGGGTCACTCGGCCACTGAACCACATCCCCAGCCCTATTTTGTATTTTATTTAGAGACAGTGTTGCTCAGGGCCTCCCTAAGTTGCTGAGGCTGACTTTGAACTCTCGATCATCCTTCCTCAGTCTCCTGAGCCTCTGGGATTACAGGTGTGTATGCACCACCATACCTGGCTTCAGATATTTTTGAATGAATGTCCAAATAAACCAAAACTCCCAGAGGTGTGGCCCCAAGGAGAGCCTGAGATCAGAAGTGGAACAAACACAGAAAAGCTCAGGGAGAGATAATCACAGACCGCGCTCAGGCTGCCCACCCAGACCACCCTGTGGCCATAAACCAGGGAGGCCTGTGGGTATGCCTGTGCACCCTGGAGCTCTGGACAAGGTGACAGCAGCAAGGACCATGCAGTATCATGAGCCTGTCAGAGGACAGGGGCCATGAGATGGGCTCTCCCTGGCCCTGCCCTGCTGAACTCTGGCTTTGCCCAGAGACCCAGCGTCTCCACCTAGCCCAGAGCTGAGGAGCAGTACATGTTCCTACACAAACAGACATGATCGTGTGGTCACCAAGGGATGCTGGACACTGCCTCCACACATCAGTTGACTCCCTGAAGGAAAAGATTGAGCACCCAGGGTATGCCGAGCACTGTGGCAGGTGATTTTCATGGCACTTATTGTCCAGTGAGGCCACAGACAAGTACATCCACTTAGAGGGCAATGTGATAAATTCAGGGCTACAGATAGCTGCAGCCTCTATCTGTTATAAGGAGGAGCATCAGAGTATTTCAGGAAAGTGAGGACATCTTCTTGGCTTCCCAGGGGAATCATAGGGCTTGGTATGACCCCCAGGCTGAGGCCTCCATGCCTCCAGGGGCCACCAATGTCTGAAATACTGATGCCAGGCATGCTCTTCCTGAGCATAGCCTTTGGTGTCCCCGTTTGTACTGAATTTCTACTAA